AAATGTCAAATGCGTAATCTTTAACTGGACCACATTTTGGATAATAGTTGACTATTACCGTTTGTTACTTCTATTAAAATGATTGGGAAGAGAAACCAACAAATAAGGTGGTGGGAGCTCAAAGAGAAGCCTAAAACCGTGATGAACGACCCAATAAGCAGTTAGAAGATAACAAATGGAATGGAGTTTTCCTACCTCTTTGTATTCTCTAGGTAATAATGTTTGTCTGCTTATACCATTGATTATTACTGACACATTTTTATTTATTTTTATCGCTGTACTTATTTAATTTTACCTATCATTTAATGTCACTACCTAAATTGAGATCGTAAACTCAATGGAACTACATAGCATTACTCTTTAATTATTTTAATTGCTTTCAAGTGTAGAAGTGTGGAAAGAGATTTTTACTCTTCTTAAAATTGGTAAAATGAAAGTCAGGCGCTGACTAACTGATTTTTGGATGATTTCCATCCATGGATCCACGAACTGCACATTTATGCAAAGGCAGGGACTGCATTGTTAAAAATTAAAGGTTTGGAATCCATTGATACTTTTTGAAAAGATTAGGGACTCATATTGAAATTTTCGCTTTGATTTTATATAAAATAAAATCATTTTCCTAAAATTTGTTAACGTAACTTTCAAGCATCTACTTCATAAACTATAAATTAATTTGACAAAAACATTTGATATTGCAAACAACAAGAATTTTGAAATTTGAATTTCAAATTTAGCAATTTTTTTGAACTTGGACACCTTTTAATTTTGTCGTATTTCACCCTAATTTCAATATTCATAGTAATAGAACTTGTTCAACCCTCAAGTGAAACCCTAATTCCAGGACAAGCTAGATTTTATTAGACATAAACCCACCTGCAATTTATTCTTAGGCTATGTTTGATTACCATTCTTTTCGATGGAACTAAGAATTGATTTTCCATTTCCTACCTTTTGGCTTGTTTGATGCACAATATTTTCTTGGCAAAACATTTTCCCACATTTGCCCA